TGGAGAAATATTTAAGAGTCTACCTCGCTATTTGGAAATTTTAAATTTATCAGACTTGGTTTGGTTTGGTTTATTAGATTTATATGCCGCCTTTCTCCCAAGGACTCAGGGCGGCGTACAACATTAAAAGAAACACATAATACAAAAGTTAAAAAAAAATTAAATAGAATATCCCAAACAAACCCAATTAGAATTGACAATAACATTTTTTTTTAAAAAAATTCGATTAAAATTAACAATAATCAATCATTTATTTTGTTTTGTTCAGGCCAGGTTGGCTTCCTGGAAAACCCAACTTTTTAGGGCGCATCGGAAGGACCGGAGGTCGGGGGTTATACAAAGCTCTGGGGGCAGTTCATTCCAGAGGGAAGGCGCTCCCACAGAGAAGGCTCTCCCCCTGGGGGTTGCTAGCCGACACTGTCTGGCCGACGGCACCCTGAGAAGGCCAACTCTGTGGGATCGCACTGGATGGTGGGAGGCTACCGGTGGCAGTAGGTGATCTCGCATTTGTGCCTATTTATCTTTGATGCAGATAGTTTGGCGTTTTGTACAAGTATTTATACATTATAAAACATTGGTATTAAAATGCCAAAAGAGAATTGATTTAGAATAGAATTCTCTGTGCTACACTTTCACTGTTATTGGTGCTTCACATCCTAATAGAGTTTGTAGTTTACAGACTGACAGAGCAAAAAATAAGAGATTCAGGATAAGCAGAGATTAAAAGTAAACGTTGCTATATAATCTTTTATTGCAATTCACATATTTGCCTGAGTATAATTCTCACTGCTTGGTCTAATTTTCAGAAGAGCTAGCCGAACAGAAACAGTGATGTCGTTCCAGCGTCGAGAAAACCGTGTTCCTGAAGATTTGCTAAGGTAAGAGTGTTCTTTCAAAGCTCTTGGCTTTGAAACAAGAGAAGCAAATAGTAGTATTTACTATTAAAGTTGCTGGTAAGAGCACTTGAGGTCTTACAATACAGGTAGCCCTAGACTTACAAGAGTTTCATTAATGACTGTTCAACATTACAATGGAGCTATAAAAAGTGACATGACCATTTTCCACACTTATGACTGTTGCAACATCCCCATGGTCATGTGATCAAAATTCAGATGCTTGGCAACTGGCTCATATTTATGACTGTTGCAGTGTCCTGGGGTCATGTGATCACCTTTTGCAACCTACTGACCAACAAAGTCAATGGGGAAGCCAGATTCACTTAACAACCATGTTGCTAACTTAATAACTGCAGTGATTCCTTTAACAACTGCTGCAAGAAAGGTCATAAAATGGGGCAAAATTCATTTAACAACTGCCTTGCTAAGCATGAAAAATCTTGGGCTCAATAATGGTCATAAATTCAGGACCATCTGTAATTAAATAGATTTAAAAGTACAAAATGCATTGTTAGGAGCTATTCCTTCTTCGCCTTCCCTTGACCTCTGCTTATTTTAACCTCTAGTGCCATTATACTTTCGAAAGAAAACCTTTCTCTGAGTTTTTTGTGGAGCAGCCCAATTTTGTTGTTTTATTTCACTTTTTATTACATGTCTGAAAAGATAAGGAGAAGATCCATTTTTCTTAGTTTCTAATGTTGTGTTTTCCAGGAATTATCTGCAAGGTACTTCAGCTAATATAAAATCTATTCATTTTCTAAAGGAAAGCCTTTGTTAAAATGAGTACAACTCCAGAAGCCTTGCTGTCTCTGCGATCTCATTTTGCCAGCACCCATGCACTGCTGTGCATCAGCCACTGGATTCTTGGCATTGGTGATCGACACTTATCAAATTTCATGATCAGTACCGAGACTGGAGGCTTGGTGGGAATAGACTTTGGACATGCGTTTGGTTCAGCAACACAGGTATTCTCCTCTTGCCCTTATTCTAATGTTTGCAGCAAGCACATTTAGCTATATTGAATGAAGCCAGGGTAGAAAATATCTGACAGCCTTGGCGATGTTTTTGAGGAACCATGGGACTTTAAGAGGGTTTTTTTTCCCCTGATCACAGAAAGTATGATATCCCTTGAGTTCTTGCTCCTTGCTGGGTCAAGAGAAGCCATTCAGAGCATCCTACCCCTCCGCCTTTCTGCTATCACAATTCTAGAAGCTAAGAGGACCAAAATGTAATGGCCTTCTGGGTCGGTGCTTACTTTCTTCACACACTTCTACAATAGGAGACATTTCCTGCTAAGCAGAATGGATTTGAAATTTAAAGGGAATGTACTTGCCAGTCCCCTTATTTTGCACCTTTAGTAGTTTAATATCTTCTTTGAGTGCCTTAAAAGTCAGAGAAGTGTAGACATAATGTACTAATGCATGCATTTATAACTAGAAGCCATGTAGCTTTATCATGTTGTTACTTCTGCTATTCATAAATCACAGCTCTTCTGCCTTGAGCAAAAAGTTTTCTTGTTTATTACATGTATTTTTTCATCATTTTTATTCTTTGTAGTTTCTGCGACTTCCAGAATTGATGCCTTTCCGCTTGACTCGACAATTTGTTAATTTGATGCTGCCAATGAAAGAATCTGGTCTTATATACAGTGTGATGGTACATTCCTTAAGGGCCTATCGTATAAATCAAGATGTACTCATTAATACAATGGATATATTTGTAAAGGAACCTTCTTTGGATTGGAAAGTAAGCTATTGACTTAATGGCTTAATTTTGGCACACCTGAAACAAGCAAACATTGAATTTTAAAATAGATATATGTGTACCCTAATATTCATTACATACAAACATACATACATGAAGTAGAAATTTAAATTTTGATTGATAACTGCCATTAATAATATGCACTGTATTATACAATATTGGTTTCATGGATTGACTTTTTTTTTCCTTAGAATTTTGAATGGAAACAGTTGAGAAAAGGAGGTACATGGACTAAGGAAATAAATACAGACAAAGTGAATTGGTATCCTCTACAAAAAGTAAACTTTGCAAGAAGAAAGTTGGCAGGGGCTAATCCAGCTGTCATTACCTGGTATGAGTTTGACATTTTAAATGTGTGGATCTGAATTAAAAATGCAAATAGAATTATTTCCTGAAAAATAGGAATTTTAATATAATGTTCTATTTTAAGATGAATTTATTTAAAGTATGTAGAATGTTTGGAGAATTTTCTGACTATAAAAAATATTGTAGATTTGATATGAGCCATTATATAACATCAAATTATAGTTAGTCTCACCTGTTCTGAAGATGGAGCAGGACAATATGCTTTTTCTGAGGCCAGGAAGGACCCTTTAGCTGTTTTGTACAATTGTAATGTGCACACATTCATGCCTGTTTCTTGAAGATTGCATTGTGAGGTGTGCGTAAGGGCTCTCATAAATCAAACATCATTGAACATACTTTCACTTTAAGTATTTTAAATATGTGAGGCAATACATGAGTTTTCAATACACACATTGCCACGTAACTGTTTATATTCCTTAGGCTCTCTAGATATTACTCAGTGACATATAAGACTAAGGGATGCCCATGGTGCTGTATATAATAAAGTATGTGTACTGTGCCATCCAGTTCCAAAACTAGTGCCTCTGGGTGGTGTAAAACCAAATTTAAAAAATTTAATTTGCAAATAACAATTATTAATATTAAAACATTAAAAATACAGCTGAAATAAAATAATTGGCTATGGGATGTTAATAATAACAGCCATCTTAGTAGACTGCCTGTTACTGGGGGTCTTGAGGTCCAATGGCACAAACAGGTCTTTGGGGGGGGGTGTCTCCAGAAAGTCAGGAGTGATTGTTCCAACTCAACCTCAGGGAGGGGAGGATATTCTGCAACGCAGGTGCCACAACCAACCAGGTCCGCCAAATGTAAGTCCCTAACTGACCGAGCCAGCTGCATGCCAAGTCTAGCAGAGATATGGTGGAACAGGAAGACGTAATTGGGGAAATGTGATTTGTCAAATAAGTACTATATACAATTTTTTTTTAAGTGATGAATTACGTTTGGGCCATGAGAAATCGGAGGCTTTCAAGGAATATATGTCTGTAGCACAAGGGAGCAAACAATCCAACATCCGTGCCAGAGAACCACAGGATGGACTTGCAGAAGAAATACAAGTGAAATGCCTTATTGATCAAGCTACTGACCCAAATATCCTTGGCAGAACTTGGGAAGGATGGGAACCCTGGATGTAAAGGACAAAGTTGTGGCTTATCCGTGTTTAATTGAACTGGAGATGAAGGCTAAAAGGACTGGATATTATTTTTTATAACCAAAAAGTATTAAAGCATATATTTCAAATTATAATGTAGCAATATAATTTTTTATATTTCTTGGCATTTCTGTAAACTGATTTTCAAATTAAGTAATGTGGGAAATCTTGAATTATGCACGTTTTAAAAGTATATATTAAATTGCTGGTTTTAATGAAAGATACCCAAAATTATTACTCAAAAAGTTAGAAAAATCTAGTAAGAATTAGTTATTATATTAACAATGAATATTAAATAAATCTGTGATACACTGAATTGATTTCACGAGTGTCATGTTTCCTGTCAATGGGTATAAGTGAGTAATTTCTTTAAATGATTTCTCCCATGAACAGAAAAAAGTTGTAAATTATGATGTGTTAGAAGAGGGACACAATATAGTGTAGTCACATTTCAATAGTTATAAGCAAGCAGTAATGTGTACAGAGCACTTTGACTGAATACATTTAAATAATACTCTGAGTTCTGTCATTCCTTGACACAAATATTAATGATCATTAGCAACATCTTTTCGGATGACAGCAACTTTTGCATCTCATTTGGAAACCAAGGACCCAGAGTATGGAGGAAGAATGGAGAGGCCAATNTGTCATTCATCTATCTTTATTTATGTCTGTCTGTCTGTCTGTCTATCTATCTATCTATCTATCTATCTATCTATCTATCTATCTATCTATCTATCTATCTATCTATCTATCTTCATCATCATCAGATATATGTAGCTGCTCATCTCTTGTACAGAAACTCCAGATAGTGTACAACATTAAAAATCAATTTAAAAATTCCAAGTTTAAACCCCCAAGCTTTCACCCATGGTAGGGATAACACAATCAGACAAGTCAATTAAACGGCTCCAAATAGGGACCCCAAGACCCCTGACAAACCATTTCTTCAAGGCTTTGTGAAAAGGCAACAAGAGAGTCAGTCTTACCCACAACCATTTTTTCACATCTTTCAGCAAACGTCTGCTGTTCTATCAGCATCTGCAGATCTATACAGGAGACTTTCAGTTTATTAATAAGAGGTATCTCTCCCTGTTTTCCCTAGCTGATAAAGATCAGATAACAAAGCAGAACATTGCATCCAACACCCAGGAAGGTTGTGTTTACAAACAGAAGTCCAAAACATTTGTTTAACACATTTCCCTTGGTTCCCTTTTCAAAGGAAGCTATTGATTCTTAATTTCCCCCTCCCTGCTGCCGAGACCAGCCTTACATCTTCTGCAGATGGGAAATTCACAGCAAATTTGATAAAGTGACATCCACCGATGTGAGAAAACTAAGCAGTTCACTATCCTGTCATCTCCCCCCTCTCCTGTTGCATAAAATCACATTTTCCTACTCATGTCAGTAAACCTCCAAATCAACCAAGAAAAATGGGTGACAACTTAGTTCCAACTGTCTCAAATTAGTACCCAACGCAGCTCACCCAAGGGAGAGAATTGTGCTCTTTATGGAGCTAAGCCCTATTCCTTAGCTAAGCAGGATTGTTAGTAACTCAAGCAGGAGCTATGGGAGTCCAAGAAGAATGAGTTGCAAACTGGGGCCTTCAGGAAGCATTGTGCAAATAATCCCCCCCCCCCCCGAGCAAAGGGATGGCAGTACTTTTACGAATATTCTGAATATTTGCAGATGAAATGAAAGGGTACTTTCTACCGGACGAAATTCTTCCAGTGACAGACAGAACACAGCACTTCTCATTTATCCCATTCCCCACTTTTATACTGCTCTATTTCTTCACAACTCAAGGCTGTTTGCAGAAAAACAATAAGGTGATCGCAAAAGGAGCCCAGCTGCTCCCACCACCTGCTCCACCTAAGAGCTGCAGGGGCTCAGTGGTTAGAGTGCTGTGCTGCAGGCTACTTTTGCTGATCAACGGCTGTCAGCAGTTTGGCAGATCGATTCTGGCCGTCCCAAACCTTCCACCTTTCCGAGGTCAGTAAAATGAGGACCTAGATTTTTTGAGGGGGGGGGGG